TCCTTTCAACAGCTACTGAAAGTTAGGGGACCTAGCTGCTATCGGATATTTATATAGAGATCCTCCAGCTTCAAACTGTATCACCCTTCAAGGACCTGCAGTTCAAAAAAAAGCTCCCCTCCGACAGCCAAACCCATCTGTTCTCTGATTGGATTGTTACATTTGTGATTGACATGACATTGACTAATCAGATGAAAGGAAGAAAAATAGGGTCAAAATCCATACTTGTAACTTGCAGGGGTTTTTTTTCTAAGTCCACACACAAATCTTTTTTACACATACAAATCTTTTTTACGCACACACAAATCTTTTTTACACATACAAATCTTTTTTACGCACGCACAAATCTTTTTTACACATACAAATCTTTTTTACGCACGCACAAATCTTTTTTACACATACAAATCTTTTTTACACACGCACAAATCTTTTTTACACATACAAATCTTTTTTACACATACAAAATATTTATGACCACATTTTGAGCCCATAGCAGCGCGTAACAGATAAATATTTGAAAAGAACCAGTCAGGCTGACTTGGTCCTGCAGAAAACTCCGACCCAGATGAAGGCCCTGGCAGGAGTAGTGGTCAGAAGAAAGCAAAGAAGCTATGCTGGGCACAACCTGAGCCAAGTCAGCTATACCTGCTGCGCGGGGAGAAATTATTAATATGCTTTTTGTGACATTTTTGTTTAGTGTAATTTTTCTAACATGAAATATTTGCCGTGGCTCCAAAAGGCTGGGAAACACTGCCGTAGAGGACAAACCAAGCTTCAAGTCCAAGAATGTCTGTAGGCTCTGAGACAGATGTGGGGAAGGGGAAAGAAGAATTTTGGCATTTCCAAACATTTCAAACCATTCAAAGCAGAAAACATGTGTCTTGTGTAGCTTCCTTGTATTTTTTCTTATCTCTCCATTACAGTGTATTCTATGGCTTTCTGAACCGCGAGATGCCCAGTGGTCAATATTCATCTCCCTAAAACAGTCACAGGGTCCATGACGACAAAAGCCATCAGAATGAACATCTCACAGCTGCAGCAAAACACACACAGAGTGGGCTTTTCTTCCACCTCTACAGCCAATACAACAAAAAAACTGAAAGCAGCCACCTGAGTTATTCCAGCTTCAGGTTAGACGCAGCATAAAGGTGCATGTAAAATGAAAACACTTATTTCTATATACACAGAGAGGAAAGTTAGATCGAACCACAAGTGGTCACGTAAGACTCATGTAGATGCTTTCTAAAGGCAGGAAAGCATAAGAGGGGTCACGCTTATCCTTCTTGATTGGTGTACAGTAAACATCACAGCCTGAAGCCTCTGGCAGCAGCTGTTAGCGTGAAGAAGAACAAGGATAAGTTCCTCATGCAGCAAAGTTTCAGCCCCGACACTTCAGTCTTCTTATCTTATACTTTTAGCTTAATGTAGATCTGCCAAAGTTCAATGACACATTTGATCAAATGTATTATCTATTCACATGTTGCAATAATATAAATAAAGTGATTTCTCCGCTTAGTAATCAATAAGCTGTAATTCTGGTTATGCAATGCCAAAATATCCACCGACTGTTGGATAACTCGTATATTTCTAAATGTACCTGTGCAACGCCCCACGATGATGTCAGCACACAACATTTCTGACTTATTTCAGTTTTCAACGTTGAACTTTCCCTCATACGTACACACAGAAACATGGATAATGACACAGGATTGGTGAGGATACAGAGCGTAGCTAAAGTTACTGCTGAAATAAATTAGTCTTGTTTGTAGTGTTTAAAGATACTTTGGTATCAGGTCAAAATGTCCAGTGGAAAAATGAAACTAACCTGAGAATCAGTTTTTACTAACGTCGGTTTAAAAAAGATGATCTCGACATACATGAGACATATGTAAGCCGTAAGATTAACCAGTGTAAATGTTTTCACGTGTGATGAGTTAATATGCCTTTGATTTGGGTACAAAGAGGTCTTATTTGAAAGACTTTTGACTTACATGCCAAAATACTGTTGCTGTGTTTTTTGTTGTCTGCTGTCAGCTGGTTGTATGAATCCAGGCTCTTCCCGAGGTTCTTATCTCCCCTCGACGGTTGTGTCATCTCTTCGACCTCGGGCTCAGGGCTTGGAGTCTCAGGCTCAACAATCTGGAAGCTACAGTTGGCAGAAGCAGAACAGGTCATAACGACTGATTAGTTTCAATGATGGACATCAGACTGTAGCTCAGTATTTTTACAGCATCTTGTTTTGCTTTTCTCTGTAATGACAGCAGAGAACAAATACTATCGAGTTGGTGCTCCAGTGAGCTGTGTTTCCAATGTAGCTCTAAGCTGTTGTGTCAGTGCAAAGATAGGTACACACACAGACACCCACAGACACAAACAGACACACACACAGACACCCACAGACACACACAGACACACACACAGACACCTGTTTTCAGTGGTGGCATTTGTAGGTGAGCTGGTCAGATCTTGCTCTCGGCTTTCATCGTCCTCGAAGGGCTCAAGGTTCACAATCTCCACCCGCTGAGGCTCCGTGCCCAAGTCCAGGATCACCACCTTTTGACTCTCACACAGCTAAAACACAGATTCACTTTCATGAGAGAATGCAGGGATCTGAAGGTTGGAAATAAATGCAGTGTCAGTTTAAGAAATGATTCAAAGCAAACTGACTGTGGCTGTTTTTACACAACAGCTACGACTGTATGATATGAAGTGTGCTGTTGGAGTTGGTACAGACAGCTGAAGCCTGTTAAAGGGCGACTAATGTCATTCTGAGTCAGCATTATTAGTATAGTATTTATTTATTGTCATTGTCAAGAACAATGAAATTGCGTTTGGGGCTTCCATACAACCCAAAAAAAGAAGAAAATAATAAATACCCCTTAAAACCCAAGTGTACATATTTAACCCAGTGTGACTCCAATGCAATAGACAATCCTTAGCAATAACATGAGAACATGA